ATTTGCTACCGTCTGGAGCTGCGGAAGTCTGGACTTCCCTCGTGGTTCTCCACGCAGCAACTGCATGTTACTCAGAAAACAGCAGCAGCAGCAACATCTGGGGGGAAAATTCGAAGTAGCACGTGTTCACGCCCAGTTGCCAGTGCGTGTGTTTCCCAAACTCTAACAACACGCATGAAGTGCCGTGACGGCACATGGCGCACTATGCCGTTCACACGATCTCCACTAGCGAGCATCTGAGCCGGAGGGGTATGCTAGTGTATCGCAAGCTAGCTATGACGGCCGCGCGGCAGGCCTCCACGTAAACGACCATGGGATCGAACACGGCTCACGGTGTCCATCTACACATTGCCTATGCTTCAACGTTCCAGGCCACTGGGCAAGCAAAACTTACGAGAGTCCGAAAGAACAAAAGATACGCACTTTCGGCAGTCCTGTCACTAGTGAGGGCGACAGTCAGACTGGCGACGACACAGAAAAGGAGAGCGAACACACCTACTCCGGCCCTGTGGGGTCGGCGATGATAACTAGTCTGATGTGAACGTTAGTCGACAAGAGGTAGATAAATTCCCGTGGGCATCACTCACCGCAGAGGCTCAACGGTGTGTAAAAGGTGCACAAAGGCGTTGGAGGAATTTGATTCGAACAGGCGCCTCGCGGTAACGAAAGTGAAATCGGTCAAGAACAAAGAGCATGAAGCTCTGAAGACTAGACAGCAAGTTCGTCGTTCCACTAATAACGTACATGCGATAGAAGTACATCTATACAAACAACGGTGCGAGTGCGTATGCGTAGTGGAGACGGGTATTGGCGAGAACTATGGAAGGACGACCACATATGCGTACAGGGATTAGACAACGCATGACGGCGTTATTATGTGCAGGCAGTAAGTATAGAAGATGAAGTGCGCCAAAGAGCTTGTGAATGAGATGCACTAACGTGGAATGATTAATGGTAGGGGACATACACATATGTACGTGGATAATTGGTGGTCAGGGGAGGGGACGAGTGAAGCGGGGTCACGGGGAATAAATTGATAGGGTATGAAGTCATTCAAAATAGCGGAGAGCGGGGGGAGGGAAGGGGGTTCATAACACATAACGGGAAAAGCGGGAGACTTACGGGAAGGGGGCAGGGTTTGGGCTCCATGTCGAACCCAACCGCAACACTCACCGACGTACCCGCCTGCTCCTTCAACCAACTCCACGGATACTTCGAGCTCGACGACCTCGTAGACGGGTATGGTGGCAGGGAATCAGAGAGTCAATCGAACTTCGCAACGCCATAGAAGATTCATGCGAAGCCGACGGCAACAACTTCTCGGGACATGCGTTCGGAGCGCAGTCACCAGCGAGTTCGCGGATGTAGCGCCGCTGCTCCTCCAGAGTCCACCTCCACCTTCCGGATTGGTGACGGGATAGGCAACTTGATTGTCGGTGCACGCAGAGCTAATCTTCGACGTTTCTGCTCCTGCCCGTGTTGTGCCAGCTGCTACGCCTGGCTCGGCCCGATAGTCGACACGCTCGCCGTCTCGGTCGAAGACCCAGACACCGACGACGGCGACGACGGCATCCTCTCGCATATCTCTATCTCCAGGCTCGGCTCCTTCAGCACCAGGGAACGAGGCTGCCGGCGGTAAGACCCGCCATCGCTGCTGCTCCCACGCGACGGCGAGCTCACGACGCCCAGCGGGCTCGAGCTGTTGCCTAGCCGCCGCCCTGTGCGCTCCCGGCCACGCTCCTCCTCCCCCCCTCCTACCCTGGGACTCCTGCTGGCGCGAGATTCGTGCTCGCGCTGGCGGTCCCGACACCGCCCACTCTCGTTGGCGATTTCGATCGCCCTGCCCGTGGGGGAGATGCTGCCGATCGGCGAGCTCGTCCCTCTGCCCCTGCTCCTGCTCCGACTCCTTTCGCAGTCCGAGAGCGATGACGTGCGCGTGGACGAGCGCCCTCGCGAGCTGGACCCAGAACGAGAGCGCGAGTAGCTCGAGTGGTATGTCGATGAGCCTGTCGTCGTGCTGCCGCCGACGCTCGGGGAGCGAGGCATCCGGCCGCGGGTGGGCATGCCGTCGGAGGGCGAGAGGAGCAAAGGATCTGCGCAGACACTCGTGATTGGTGCGGAAGAGGGGAGAGTCGTGAGGTTGGAGTTTGACGATGTTGATGCGACAACGAGGGTGCTTGCAGGGCTGTAACAAGACACGGGGGTAGAAGGTAGCGATGCTGAGTCATACGCAGGCGAGGCCTGCTGCTCTGGTAGCCGGTCCAGAACTGGCGAGCGAGACGAGCTACTCTCGCGGGCGCGCTCTTGCCTCTCCTCAACGGCGTCGGTGACCTTGTTCACGACCACGAGGGGCATATCCAGACTTGGTGCCTTGGGAGAGCCAGTTGGACTGGGACTGGTGGATCTTGGACTACGCCGCCAGCTACCGCTCCGCCCGATTGCGACGCCTGCAGCGCCGTCCTCGCCAAGGTCAGGACCACCGAAGTAGTCATACACATTGTCCTGAGGAGGCATATCGTCAATATGCATCGGCGAGTCGACGATGTCTTGTGTGGGGAAGAAGATGCCAGAGCTGGTTCGCCGCATCGACTCCGACACACCCTCCGGCGCCAAGTCAACGCTCGATACCTGCGGAGAAGAACCGGGTGCAGGCGACCGGGGAAGCGGTGAGCGGGGATATGTGAATGTAGACCTTGAACCGACGCCGAGACAGGATTCCTCGTGGTATACGTCCTCGTTACTGGAAAGGCTGTAGCTCGCCGTCGGGATGTACACAAGGTCGACGTCCTCCGGTGACTCGAGAGCGCTCCCCTCGGGCAATATCGCGAATTCATTGCCGACACCGGTGCTATTGAGTAACGTCGGCGCGATGAGGGCTATAGAAACATGTTCCCGATCGGTGGACAAGCGACGGGCGACAGGCGGCCTGAGACCAGGCGCCGTCGCTTCCGGATCAAGGGGAGTCGGCCGTACAGACGATGTCGAGTTGGAGTGCGAGCGAGAGGACGCAGTGCGCATCTCCAGCACGTCGTCGTCGTCGTCTTCGGAATCTGACTCGAACCCCGCCGCATGATTGTAGTAATAGTTGGACGTCGGCTCGTCGTACTCGCCGTCGCAACCGGTCTCCGAATCGTACCTGTCATGAGGAAGAAGAGAATCAGTTGAAGATCGCTCATCAGTCAAAGTGACATGAGACTCAACTCGTCATCGTAAGTATCCGATATTGTGCCGTCACACGGAGGACTTGCCGAGGCGCGCCTGAGCTTGGGCTTCTCGATCGCGACACACACCTCGACAAATGTGTTGAACGAGATGTGCTTCTTCGTGTGGCCGCCTTGACTTTGCTTCGAGCTGCTAGAAAGGTCCCGCTCGCTTTCTGCAGAACCGGATGCCTCGCTGGATGACGTTGTCGTCTGGAGGCTCGGATGTCTCGGTCCGTTATGTGAGATCGCGGGGTCATTCTGGCGGAACGATCGGCCGCGCATGTCACTCGGCGTGTGGACGGGGGGAGGAGCGGAGGAACGAGTGCGGTCGCCTTCACGAGAGTCGTCATCCTCGTCACATGCATCACTATCGCTCTGAAGGAAGAAATGATTGGCAGGGAAGGAGAGGAGTTGACTTGTACTACGCCTCTTGAGGATGGGCTTCATGGGTGCCGCAGTCTGAGAGGCGGTTGAGTTGGTCTTGTATGGACCAGGAAGCGCATCAGTGCTGGTCTTGCGTTGCCCAGCGTGCAGCCTCGGGTTCTTATGTTGTGAGTAGACGGTCCAATCGCGGCCGATGTGGAGGGGGCCATATAGCCAAGTGACATCAGAGTCCTTGAGCCTGCCGCAGCAGAGGCGTCAGCAATTCGCACATATGGGGGGCGTCATGGCATCCATACGCGTCGCGCATGTTTGAGAAGCGCGATACGAGGAATATGAAAGGACGCAGAGGTATAAAGAGCGTACCAGTTGAGAGTCTCGGGGGAAATGGTCTTGAGGCCGTTCCTCTGCTTCCACCACGTCCTCCAGCTCGCGTTCTCGAGACGCATGCCATTGGCGATTGCGTTCTTCTGGCGTGTCATGCTGCGCCATGACCGCCACACATCTTCCTCTCTCCAGTTGTGAGAGAGGTAGTCGACTTGGCCTTCGGGCTGAGAGTCGAAAGAGGAGTCGTCTGGTACGGCGTTGTGGGTAACAGAGAGAAGCGGCATGGGAGGAGGGCTCGTCGAGGTCGAGGGGAGAGGGATGCTCATCGAGGTGTGTAGTTGGAGAGGGACTTGCGAGGAGGATCACCTTTCGGATCCCCCGCAGTGCTCGGGCGGCCTTGTCGTAAGCCCATTAAAGGCGGTGTCCACGGACGCGGGGAACGTCAAGCCATAGAGTGCACCCACCCCCGCCGTGCGGTGTCGTCCTTCCCTGTCAGGCCACTCGGCCCTTTGCGCCCCGTTTCGTATTCTCATGGCCACGGCGACATGCTGCGGCGAATGGTCACTTGACCTCGTCCTCCGCAGAGGCCTCCCGGACTGTCTCTCGCCCTCTCCCAGCGATGCAGTCTGCCAGAGCCATGCCAACCAAGGGCCGAGGCCAAGGTCCGACCGGGCGCAAGGCAGACAAACGCTGACAACACACCTGTGAAACATCTATCATCTCCGTCCTCGCCGCACCGCAACCCATCCTCCGGAGGTCGCCTTCGGATTCCTTCCGTGCACTTGGAGCTTTCCCCGCACTTCCGTCGCCCTAATAGCGAGCCTCAAACCGTCCGAGTGGCCGGGATTTTGCGCCGCGGTAAGGCCAGACGTCACCTTGTTTGTCCTTCCCGTTCTCCTGCGTAGTGGTGGAACGCGCAGGGCGTATGAATGCGACATGGTTCGATCAAAGCAAGGTGCGTATACCGGACTCCGGAGATTCGAAGACACTCAGCTCGCACGGGCGGTTGAGCGTCGAAGGCTCGAAGCAGTACATACCGAACGGTTTACTGCGATTAGGTGATCAACATAAACGAAAGTGAAGATCTAAGGCCGCCTGGCGTAATGGCAACGCGTCTGACTACGATAGGCGGTTCGATCGTTTCGTTATCAGGAGATTGCAGGTTCGACCCCTGCGGTGGTCATTACTTTTCAAGTTTCAGAACAACTTCTTTTGCTTGTCCAGTGGCTACTTTGGAAGGACACCGACAGTGTATGTCGGATATGGAATTTCAGTTCGTGTCAAGACAAAGAGGCAGTAATACACCCGTGAAACGAAGACCACACCAACGATGTATCGCAAGTAAACCAGAGAGGATAGAATCGCCTTGCCTGGTCTGTGAGAGACGAAGACTGCCCACGCCGAGGCACAGCGTCAGCGTGCTCGACATATTCCTCGGTGGTAGTGCGCGTCGGTGAGCTCGGCGCGGTGACGAACACCGTGGCGGGCGACAGACAGTGATCTGCTTCAGCGGTGCAATCGGGTGTCTGTGGGCGCGACGTAGATGGTGTCACGTAAACGGAAGAAGCGGGTGAGGAGGGAGTGCTTGAATCGTGGTCTGTGCCAGGTTGTTGTGCGCCCCGGGCTTCCTGCTGGCTCTCACCCTCGCCGTCCTTGAGGAAGGAGAAGTCCATGAACTCAATAGGATTCCTGAGGAGCTCATCCTCGTCAGCCGGTGTGCAGTCAACCGCGGTCGCAGTCGGCGCGGTCTAATGAATGGGATCAGCCAAACTCTCTGCTAGGGCTGAAGAAGTTCACGTACCGCAGGGCAGTGATCAGCTAGGACAGTCGACGGCGTAGACATAGCAGCACCGTCCTCGAGCATCTGCACATCGCGAGAGTCATTCTCAATCGGTTCGGGGAGCTGCCGGTCTTGATCGCTTCGCTGAAACGAACAACTCTGTGGATAACGCGGTCAACAGCGGTAGGTAGATTCAACCCTAGCGAGGGACGCACCGACTTCGCGAACGGACACACTCGACTAGCCACCGACGATATGTCGATGCTGTCGATACTCTCAAGTGACATATCAGACCCGGACGTCGAAGACGAGCTCGGAGACCCGGGAGACGGCGTGTTGCGGAGGGATGGTGGTCTCATGGGGAGGCCGGTGAAGCGGTCGATTCTTGTAGCCCAAGGATCGTGGTTGGTATCCGGTGGTGCGTCCGAACTCTCGTGACTGGAGACAGAGGCATCGGGCTCGTGTAGAACTGGCAAAGTCGACTGGGAAGGTGAGAGGGGAGAGGCTGAGGCCTTGTCGGAGAGGAGCGAAGTTGTGGCCATCGCGTTCAATGGAACGGAGCACCAAGGGTGGTTGTTCGAGCGAGTATAAAGACAAGTGAGGAGCAGAGGAGAGATTGCAGCGGGAGTGGTGGCGGTAAAGGAGAGAGGTGGGTGTGTGGCCGCGGGTGTTTATGTACGCGTCGGGTGGCTGGACGCTTTGGTCGCGTCAAGTCACATGGACAAAGCCGCATTGAGTGGCGTGGACGTCCCATTGGCCCGCTTGCACAGCAAAACCTTTGTGCATCTCAAAGGAGACAATGGAGAATGTGGAGAATACAGACCGGCGCACCTGACAATTGGTTCGCAAGCAAATCCTGTCGACCATGCGCCTCTCCACGAGCAGACGAGGTGCATCACCGTTTGAATACGAGAAAAAGCATACAGTCTCAGGGTATCGGGCAACTACCTATAGGCAATAGACGTCTTGCAAGGACCAGAGACGACTATCCGTCCACCTTGCCCTCCCCGAGGCGGCTTCTGCTCTCCTACATTCCATTTACCAGCTGTCATGAAGTCAGCATCGCAAATCCCAGCAAGCTACTCCAGCACTGACCTGTACGACTCGCTGTGCAGGTAGATCTCCGAGCACACCGACTTGCCGCGGACGATAGCGAGCTCGCACTCCGATACGGCGTTCCCAACATCGAGGTTGAACGAATCAGGACCGCATGCTATGAGGTGTAACGGTCTGCGTTAGCCTGTGCCGCGTGGTATACATGCGCGTCAGTGACGTACTCGCAACCGCGACCGTGCCCTGTTCAGCGCAGAACTCCTTGATGATGCCGGAAAGAATAGGACGGCCGGCGTGTTTGCTGATTACGTCGTCCGCCACAACCTTCTCGTCCTTCGTCGAGGTCGATGCCGCGTCATCGATGATGGTGGATCCGTCTGTCACGTAGTAGGATACAGAGACCATGAGCCCCTCAGGTGCGCTTTTAACAGCCCTGGACAGGATATCGTCGAACCACGACAATGCGTCTGCGGAGCAGAATAGGTCAGGACATGCAGTCGCTCGAGAGGCCTATGGTAGCATACCGATGCTCCTGACGGCCCAGACAATTTGTACCGCACGACACATCGTCTTCCCGGACTTGCTACCGCGTACAATATCGAGCAGAAGAGGGACGACGAACGTGACACCTGGAAGAGGCGATGAGGTGGAGATATAGCAGGGATGAACGAACAGAATACGAACCTGAACCGCCAGCAAGGAGCAACACTCGGTCATATGCGTCAAGCTTAGCCTCGACGCCGCCATAAGGCCCGTCCAACAAGACACGCGACGTCTTCAGGCCTCCGCTCTTGGCTACTGCCCCGAGCCGGGCAGTGATCCCGCCAAGGACGCGAGCATATATTTCGATGACATTGCGACCACCATCCTTCTCCGCTCCCGATCCGGGCAGCGAGGCGACCGTGAACGGGTGCGATGACGCTGCATGGATCCCGAGATCGAGGAACCGCACGAAGAAGTGCTGACCAGGGCGCCACTTCAGCTTCGTCGGGACCGTAATCTTGACCATGTTATCGGGGAGGGCTTCCAACGTAGCATCCGAGGTCAGACCGTTGATGAGAGTGCGGCCGTACCGGGCGAACCAGGAGAATCCGTATAGCGCTGCACTGGCCCAGAAGTAGTCCCTGCCATTTGGCTGTGAGATGTGCCCTCTGCGTGAGAGGTGATGATGCTTACCAGGACGTCAGGCGGAAGTCGCAGTGAATAAAGAGAGCGGGGACGAAGATCCCGCTGGCACTGGACATTAGGTTAGCCTCAATGTCGGAGTCACGACCGTAAGATGCACGCGTACATGAAGTGCAACCTGGACACACGCGTTAGCTTCAGCGAAGGAGACAGTAGCGCAAGTAAAGCACATACTTTTTGAACGTCTCATAGTAACGATTCCTACAAGCATTACGAAAGCATGAGTGATGGCCAAACGTAGGAGCAGCCATGCTACGTGCCTGATCGGACCCCAAGACATGAATACAAGCCACGTCTGAACTAAGCGGTCAGTATTGATCGACTCTCAGGATAACGCTGCGTACGCACCTGAGGGACCAGAGCAGCGACCCCAGTCCAGTAAAACGACGATGTGTTCCAGTTCTCGACCATCTCACCCCGGCGGATGTTCTGTACGATGAATGGGAACGTATGGATCAAGGAAGTGATGTCTGTTCCATGCTACTACTGAGAACACCGCAACGAAGGCATCGACAAATGAACACGTACACATGATCCAAGCAGTCCATCTGTGGTACACCTGCAGCTTCTCATGCGAGACCCCAGTGAACATACCGACCAGGTTGACTTTCGTAGCGAAGACCCTGAGTTCCGAGACACACGTGTGAATTTGTAAGTAGCAAAGAAAAGATACGTATACGCACAGCAGGAAAGGCAGAATCGCGATGGATATCCATCCAGATCGTGTTGCGATGGGCGGACTGTGTCCCATGGCAACGTTGGGCCACACGTACGGATGGGCGGCGAAGGTTAACGCTTCGCACCAGGTGAGGAACATCGCCGTACGTGGAAGACATATGAAGAACTTACCAGCAAAGAATATCACAAAGCCCGCAACGATAACGACAGCACTAAGCGGAGGCGAGTAGTAGTCGACGACAGGAACGTAGATCTGCCTGGATCCAAGAGCCCTTGAAGCCGCAATGACCTTGCTGTACAACGGAGCCTTGCGGAAAAGACTGCCAATCCTGGATCGAGAGTGAATCGACAAGGTGCGGATAATCAACAGACAATCCTTACCGCGTACGCTGACCGAGTTGGAACAAGATATTGACGAGAATGAAGAAGGCGATTCCGGCGCAGAAAAAGTATACCGTAGCTCGCGCGTAGTCCCAATCGGCCGTGTACCACTGAGTCGTGAGTTGCGAGTCAGCACGAAGACGAAAAAGATGTCCTGGACGGAGATAAGGACATACATTGTGCCAGCGAGACCTGATGAGTTTGAATTGTTCGAGAGTCATCACAGTGGAGTTATACCCAGACGAAATCCGTGATGAGTGCCAAAGCACAGGATGGTCGAGCCACATGCGTCCCATGGTGTCGAGGTAGCGAGATAAATGCAAGCAGTCGCAACGAGACGACTCCTAGAGGACCGACCAGCGAGAGTTCGAGTTTTGTCGTAGCGTTACGAGTGACGGGTGACGTGACCAGGCGTAACGGTGCGGGAAGCTACGGAGCGCAAGTCGACTGGGGAGGTCCTCCGTCGCCAGCGAAGATGGTAGGCCCAGGTCGCCAAGATAGGCAGATAACATCGAGGTAGATCCGGTAGATTTGCTCGCGTGAACGTCCGCCACGCATGGCTGCCTGAGTACTGAGGATAGTAGATTGTGAGCTCACGTTCGCCCCTTCCGGCGGGAATAGTAGCATTGCCAGTGAGTGCGAGCGCCGGGTGGGAGATCTGGGTGTATAGGATAAGCCAACGCTGGATGCTTGTGGGGAAGAATCGGGTGCAGGTGACCGGGGAAGGGGTGAGCGAGGATATATGAATGCAGACCTTGTACCGACGCCGAGAATGGATTCCTCGTGGTATACGTCCTCATTATTGGGAAGGCTGGAGCTCGCCGTCGGTACGTACACAAGGTCGACGTCCTCCGGCGACTTGAGAGCCCTCCCCTCCGGTAATGTCGCGATTTCGTTGCCCAAGATCCATTGGCAGATGAGGGCGAAGACACCGTCTTCTGAGACCTAATCAACCCTGAAAATCAGTCATGTAGGCGTAAGATGGCTCTGGAGTTACCCCGACATCTTTGTGGAGCAGCCGACCACCGGCGGCACTTTACCAATAGACAGGGGAAGGAGAGAAAGAAGAGAAAGAAGAGTTCGCAAACAAGTCATGTCCAAGGCAG